GAGATGCGCCCGTCTCGGGCTGCGAGCTTCGGGCTCCCGACGCCCCCAAGCGAGTGGGGGAAGCGTGAGCTCCAGGGGCAGCCGGGGCTCCCCAGCCCGGCCTCCTCCCGCCCCCACCTCCTGGGCCCGGCCTCTCCCGTCTCCCCCAAGGGCCCGTGCGGCGCCCTCGCCGAGGACCAGGTGAGGCCACGAAACTAACGGAAAAAGCCGCCGCTGCGCTGGAGACGCGGGGGGGGTAGGGGGGGGTGGGGGGGGCGGGGGGCAGGGGTGCTGGGCTCTGGCTGCTGGGGCGCTGCGCTGCGCGGCTCTCCCGTGGCTGCGTGAAGAGGGGCACAGTCCCCCCTCGGCTCTCGCCTGGGGGCTTCTGTCCTCACCTGCGCTCCCGCCCACATGGGCTCCACCTGCTTGTGGCCACTTGCGGGTGAACCGTGGGGGGCTGGGGTCACCCTCGTCTGTTCCTTCCTCAGTTTACCTCCCTGCGAGGTGCAGGGAGAGGGTCTGGGGCTCAACCCCCATCTGGGGTGGGGGATGTGCTGCTCCCCAGCGCGCCCCTCTCCCCGTCCTCTGCGGCGTGGGCTGGGGGGCAGGGGCGCTGCAGGGCGGGCCACCGCCGCTGTCCTGGACCCCCGAGGTCCCCTGTGGTCCTCGTGCCGTGAGGCGCTCCAGGTCGGGCCTGGCTTCTCTGACTGTCGGGGAGAGGGAGCCGGGCGCCCGGTGCTGCTGCGCGTTCCCATCTCCCGGGTGGGGCAGGCCCATGCGAGTGACAGCCCAGTTCCCGGGAGCCGGGGTGCACGGGGCAGCCGGCGGGCTCGGGGGCCCCTACTCTCCTTGTGCCGGCCCCACCCTCAGTTCTGGGACGCCCAGGGGCTCGGGTGCCCCTGGAGCTCACGGGCATCTTCTGGGCAGTTTTTAAGGGAGAGGGTGACCCGGCCTCTGTCCACCCCGGGTGGGCGAGGACGCCTGTAATTTCCTGGGGTACATGCTGTCGTCCCCCGCCTGGGCTCCCCGTCACCCCCGTGCTGCTCCCAGCAGACGTGCCGATGCTTGGTGTCTCCACGTGGCCTTTCCTGCCTGCGCCGCCGCTGGGCCTGCCGGCGTCCCTCGGGGTTGGGGGCCCAGACTCCCCTCAGGCCGGCACCCCTCACCGTCCACGCGACTGTGGGCCAGGAAGACGGCGGCGGGAGGGATCGGCCTCTTGCGGAGACCACATTCGACCCTTCCAGCAGCAGCGGTGCGTGCGCAGCCTCTCCAGGGCGGCGGCGGGGGGTTCTGAGAAGGGCAGGCGGGGGAGGGGGGGCGAGCCTGACAACCCTGATGTCCTCCGGATGCACTTCCGCAGCCGGCGGGGCAGCGCCGCTCCCCCAGGAAGACAGGCGCCCCACGAAGAGCAGACCACCAGGTTCGGTTTTGCCAATTTTATTGAACCAATGAAATTCCTACGAGTGACAATGAAAGACGTTTCTGCAGGTGTGGACGTGGAGCAGCTTCACAACCCCCTTGCTCTGTACCTGCAGAGCCTCAGAACGTCATGGAAAGTGCAGTGGAGTCGCTGCTAAGCTGTTCGTACGCGGTTCCCCCCAGAGTCCCCACGCGACGCCCGGCCGGGAAGCAGGCGCCGAAGCGCTGGCGCCCCCCCCCGGCCCCCTCCAGCCCCCCCCAGCCCGGCCAGCCTGGCCCCGGCCCCCCCCAGCCCCCCCCAGCCCGGCCAGCCCGGCCGGAGTCCCACACGCGGGAGAGGGGAGCCGGGCGGGGACCCTGCCCGCCGGCCGGGCCTTGGCCGCACCGCGGCCCCGCGAGCCCCAGGGGCTGTGCAGCGAGTCGGCTTTTTCGGAACAGAAACGCGGCAGCGCCGCCCTCTGCCAGGGCCACGGCGGGCTCCCTGCGCACCCGTCGCTGGAAAAGCTGCTTCTAAGGGCCTCCTGGCACGCGAGAGCCGGGCTCCCCGCGGGTTGTCCGCCCCCCGCGGAGGGGGGTCCGGAGCCACGTGCTTCGTCAAAAAAAAAAAAAAAATGACAGTCGCCAGCACAGGACGACACGGCGAGCGTCACGGCCTCTGTCGCACCGGACACGCGCCGAGCACGGCAGAGAGAGCCCCGCGTTGGCACCGATGACCCCGAGGGCTCCGCGGCCCTCCCCCGCGGGCTGCACGGTCACTCAGGGCTCTGGGCAACGCTCGGTGACGCCAGGAGCCGGCGCCCTTGCGGGCGGGCCGTGCCCAGCCTCGGCCACACGCTGGTGGCAGCTGCCTGCAAGTCAGGGTGAACAGAGTCGAGTTCTCATCCCGTCTCCTAAGCCGAAGGCCGCGGCCGGTGCTCCGGGGCCGGGGGCGCGGCGCTGGGGCTGGGTCAGGCCACGCCAGGGCCCGGCTCAACCCTCCTGGCCAGAGCGGGGCTGGGCCACTCGGGGGCGGGAGACCCCCGGCCGCGCCTGCGTCCAGGGCCTGCCTCAGCCAGGAGAGGGGGCCCTGGCACTTCTCCCAGGGGTGTCCAGAGCGGTCCGCGCGGGCTGAGCAAGTTGGGGCCACTTTCCTTCAGGAACAGGGCGCCCTCGGACTCGGCGTGTCTCAGAGAAGCCGCGACATTCAGACGGGAAGTCTCCGGACAAAACCCAGGGCCGTCCTGGCTGCCGAAGCGAGAGCCTCTGTCTCTGGCCCATCTCAGCAGCTGGGGGCGGGCGAACGCTCCAGCCCGCCGAGTGGGACCCAGGCAGGCCGGGGGGCAGGCGCTGGCCGGGCAGCGTGGGAGCCGCCGAGGCCGGGCCTCCTCCCTTCGACATTCACAGTCACGCTTTAAGAGGTTCGCCTGCGGGGTGCAGGAAAATAGGCTGTTTTAGCAAAACCATGCACCAAAGTGTGTTTCTTACACTCGCGCTTGCCGGCAGCTGGACTCCGCCCTACGAGCGGCACAACAGGGCTGCTGCGCCAGAGGCTGCCCTCGCTGGCGCGCGTCTCCCCGGGCCCGGGAGAGCGGACTGTTGGCCGCGCTTCCCGCCGACCACTCTCCCAGGGCTGCCCGCGCGCCCTCGGACGCCGCCGGCCGGACTCCACCGCGCCGGCCCCCTGCTGTCCGGGTGCTCCGGGTGGGGGGCGCCGGCCCGCAGGCAGAGTCACCTCCCCGGGAGCGCGGCCGCCCGGCACCTGCCGCAGAGGCCGAGGGCGGGGCTGGGGTGCCCCCGGGCGGGGCTGGGGTGCCCCCGGGCGGGGCTGGCCCCGACGCGTGCGCGGGTCTCTGAGGGGCAGCCAGGGACGGGCCGGCCGCCGGGGCCCCTGTGCGCCCAGAGCCTGTCCCCGGAGGGCAGGGCAGAAAGGGGGGCGCAGCCGGCCTAACGCCCGAAGCTGGGGCCGCCCTCACGCGGGTTCTGCGTCTTTCGTCTGCCTCAAGCCCCGGACGGACGCCGGGGGCAGAAGCCCCGAAGGCCCTCTGCCCCGCCGTAAGCGTTTCAGACCCGAACGCCGACAGAGCAACGGCCGGAGACGCGGCCCTCTTGAGCCGCCTGCTCTGCCCGCTGCTGGCCCCGCGGGCAGCGACTGGGCCGCGTTCCGGCCGTGCTGCTGCCGAGCCCTGGCGCGGGCCAGCTCCTTCCTCTCCCGCGCGTGAGTACCAAGATTCCCGCGAGGCCGGCGGCCAGCGGCGCGGAGACCGAGCGCCACAGAAGCGTGTCCGGGACTGGGGCGGCCGGGCCGGCGCTGGCCGCAGGCGGGGGCCATGGGAGAGGAGCGGGGCGGCGCCGGGCCCGGGTGGAGAGAACTTGGGGGGGCAGTTCCACGCTCTGAGGCGGGAGAGGGGCTCGAGGTCGGCGCTGACGACCAGCAGGTGGGCTCGAGGCGGGCGAGGCTGGGGAGGGGCGCCGGGGAGGCGCTGGGAGGCGCAGGGTGGGCCGAGGGTCGTGGCACCCCGGCAGGGTCTGTGGGGGTGAGGGGGCCCCGCTAGGACCCCGTGCTCAGCCCCGGCAGCTCCTGGTGCCCGACTCGGGGCCTCCTCCTGGGGCCGGCTCCGGGCGTCGCAGCCTCCGGTGTGCCGGGCCCGAGGCGCTGCCAGCGACCAGCCGCTAGTGGCCGGCCGGGTGGGCAGCGCGGAGAGGGCTGCGCCCAGTGTCGGGCCTCCTGGGGACCTGGGGCCGGGGCTCGGACTGCACCCGGGCAGGGGCCTCGTCCGCCCGCCCCCGCCGCCGGGCCGTCCGGCCTCTGCGCCAGCAAGGAGGTCCAGCGCCCGCGGGCGCATCTGCGCTCTGGCCGCCCGCGGAGTGGCTCAGAACTGTCTTGACAACACCACGGACAACGAACCAGGCAGCGCAGTCCCCGCCACGGCGGCCCCCGCTTCTGACCCGCGCGGCGGTCTCTGTCCCAGGCCGCCGCGCCCCGCAGCCCGGGCCCTGCAGGCGCCGCGCCCAGGTCTTGGGCTTCGGGGGTTTATTCCGCTGCAGCAGCGACAGCCAAGGTTTGCGTTTTAGGAAGCTTGGGAAGGGGAGAGAGCAAGGTGCCCGCGGAGGACGCGAGCCTGCGGGCGCGGTGAGGTCTCGGGGGCCTCGGGCACGCCCGACAAGGGGCTCTGGTTAAATCCACGTTGCGTGAAGCCCACGTTGGCTCTTCTGTCCTAAAACCGTCCCGCGCCGCGGCCCTGGTTTGGGCCGAAACCGCAAGTAAAGGCCGAGCGCGCCCCGCCCCATCCGTCTCGCCTCATCTCACAGTCTGTGCCCGGCGGCCGTGGGGCGGTGACAGAGACGACGCGCCGAGCCCAGCGGCGCGGGCACCAAGCAAGCGGCCTCCCGGCTCGCCCCACTAGAGCCCGGGCCCCCACGCGTGGGTCCCGACGGACTTCGGGGTGGCTCAGCATCTGGGCACTTGGCGAGGTGACCCGAGCGCGCAGGCGCCACCGCTGGGGCCGGCGGCTTCGGGGCCGAGTGGACTCGGGTGGGCAGCGCGCCGGGGCCGACGCCGGGGCGGGGGCCGCGGGCGGTGGGGAGTCACCACATCACCACGACGACCAGACCAGGTATCTCTTTGAAAAATATCACATTTTAATATAAAAAGCTATACTATAAATTACTACATAGTAAATTCAACACTCTGGAAAAATACCACCCTGGAAAACCGCGTCAGGATTTCAAGTTTGGGTTCGACAGAGTCCGCAGCCAAGTCGCTGCAGAATGAGGCTCCCAGCCCGGGGGCCCGCGGGCTGCGGGGGAGGGGGTGGGGCACCCACACCTGCGTACCTGCTCCTGCCGCACCTGGGGGGACACCTGCCCGGCTCTGCCTCTCTAGGCTGGTCACGGGGGCGCACGCCAGGTTCAGCTTCAGCTGACACTCCGCGTCCGCCTCTCTCCCGGCCCTGACAGGCGCCGGGTGCTGAGCTGCAGACCCCGCCCTGGGGGACTGGGGAGCACCCCGTCTGCGGAACACCCCACCTGGCACGGGGGCGAGGAGCCCTCGCTCCCCTTGCGGTCTAGAGCCGTCGGGTGTTCTGTGGGCGTCTCTCCTCCATGTGCGTCCCTGTTCTCGCCCGCAGCGCAGGCCGCCTGCACGTTCCCGGGCTATCGGCCGAGAGGGTGACGGCAGCAAAGGACAGAGCCCAGGGTGGCGCAGGCCCCGACGCGAGCGCTTGCGCGGGCACCGCACGGCGGCGGCCTCCCCTGGACTCTCCGCGCCGGCTGAGGGCCGCCTCCGGGAGGCGCAGCAGCGCACGGAGGTGCCCGACAGCAGCCTTGGCATGAACTCTCCGAGCAAACACCCTTCCTTAAAAACGCCGGGAAATGTCTCCTCACGGGCATGATGGCGAGCGAGTCCCCCAGCCCAAGCCGCAGAGCTGGCCGCGCCACAGGCTCACGGCCGCCTTGTCCCCGCCGCGCCTGCAACGGCATCTACGGGGCCCGGCCGGGCGATGGGAGCAGGCAGGGCCGGGAGCGGCAGGGGCAGGAGACGCCAGCCACGCCGCTCGGGAGGGGACGCCCCGGGGTGCCAAGGAGCCCCCACTGCGCTGCGTACCGTGCGGCCGGGGCTCTGCTCTGAGAGACCAGCGTGTTGTGGAGAACCCGAGGCCCCGCCACGAACCAGAGAGCGACCCACAGGCGGGCCGGGCGCTCCCTGCCCCGCAGAGTGTGACCTCCGGGCGCTTCCTCCCCCCCAGGACGTCACGGCTTTGCTTCAGCCGTTGTCCGGCAGAGGCTCTTCGGGGAGATGCTTTGGCGTTACGGAAGGAGCGCCGTCCCCCCCAGCAAGGCCCGCGCCTCGCGCCGGGCGGAGGAGGAAGCCCCGGCAGAGCTGCTCCGGCTCCGCGGCCTCCTCTCCCCCACGGACTGCACCCCTGGAGCTGCCGCTCACCGCGTTAATGCATAGAAAACATTGTTCACCTTCGGGTAACAAACCGCTTAACCTATTTTAAGAAAAATCATGGAAAATAATCTCTAAAAGCCTAACGGGGAAACACACACAGGCGGATTAGCCGCCCTTCGTTGCTGAGACACAGGAAACACTGTGAGAAAAGGGAAATGTGCAAAGAAAATTTTTGGTCAGTCTTGAGCGGGAGCAGGCCCTCCGGTGCCGGCTCGGCGACCCCAGGGCAGCGCCGGGGGCCTCTTCTCGGGCGCCTGGCTGGGGGCGCGGCGCGGCCTGGGACACGGGCGTCTGCCTGGGACGCCGACACTCCTGCTTCAGCGGCGGAAGGAGCAGCCAGAGTTGGCGTTTCAGTGGCGTGCTCGAGAATTCATCGTGATCAGCTTCACATTAAAGCATGGGTGGCGGCGGCTTCGCAGTCCATGTTATCACCAATAGCAGTAAAACCCCAAACAGCCGGGGCCCGGGCGGCGGCCTCCCGGGCACAGGCCCGTGTCCGGCGAGGGCTGGCCCGGGGCCCAGGCTGTGCTCCGCCCGACTCAGGGCGCAGGCCGGGGCTGGGACGGCCAGAGTCAGCCCCACTATCCGATGAGCGATGGCGGAGGCAGACTGCAAGCACTCTTCCCTGTTTGTAAAATAAAAGGGGGGGCTACACGTACACACACACCCACAAGCGCTGAAGCATCAACAACCAGGTTCATGATCCGTGGCAGGCGTCCAGAGCCCACTGCAGGCCACGCGGCGCCGTGTCCTCGCGCCGTCCGGGGGACTGCTAGTGACGGTCGGCATCGAGGAAAGGCAAACACATCATTGCACGTCCCAGCCGCCTGCAGCCACGGCTCGACTTGGACTCGGGGGTCGAGGATCCGGACGCCGCGCCCCGGGCGGCTCCTGCGTCTGGGCTGGGGTGGCGCTGGCCGGCGCTCAGGTCAGGTGCCGGGTGATGGCGCGAAGGGCATACAGGAGCTCGGCCTGCATCCGCGCCTCCATCAGGAGCAGGTTCACGTGCACCTGGGAATGAGAGCGTCGTCAGCGCGGCCGTCGGAAGTGCCTGGTAAAGCTGCTCGTTCACATCTAGACACGCAGGCGGCCCCCGTGGGCGGGCGCTGGCCCGGTGCCGACGCCACCTGACACTCGCGCGACCTGGTGTGTGCACGTGGCTCCGAGGGCTGGAAAAAGACCCCCGAGCCTTACATTATCCCGGTAATTTTCAAGACTGTATGTTACGTAAAGCCAATGAGTCTTTTGGGTCATGAAACTAATTTTTATAAATGATCTTTTCCTACAAATAAACATTCTTCCAGCTGTCAGATTTTGTGTGGCTGAAAGTCAGCTACACTTCTTGCAGCCCATGCTTAGTCCTGGCAGCGCTTTTGAAAATACTCCCGGTTCACTTGAAAGACTCGGCTGAAGGGCCTCCCCTGGTGGCGCAGCGGTTGAGCGCCGGGTTGCGAAACTGCCTGCAGCCTCTGCAGCGCCGGTTCGATCCCCGGCTGCTCCCCGGCCACCGGAGGAGGGTCCCACATGGCGCGCAGACCTCTCCTGCTGCCCACTGCTCCCCTCAGCAGTGTACTTCCGTCCTTCTGCCTGCTCTGCTCCCTGCTCTGGTGAATTCTCTCACCCTCCCACGCTTCTGACTGTACCCAGTACTTGTATAAATAAATAAATAAATCTTTAAAAAAAAAAAAAAAAAAAGAAAGACTCGGCTGAAAAGCCGCCGGCTGAGGCAGCTCGACGCCAGCGCCCCGGCCGTCGGGCCGCCTGAGCAAGGCCCTCGTTGGGAGGTCGTGGGCGGCAGAGGGGCCAGAACGAATGCCCAGGTATTTTCAGAAGCTATTATGGAACCTGGTATTAATATTTAAATTATTTTGCTACCGTCCTACAGGCGGGGTATACCGTTGGGGAGACGGTCTTGATGCGTCAAGGGGATGTCTAGGTCCCACTCATGAAGGGAGAAAATCTCACGCAGTATATAAACGGGGCGTGAGGGCCCACGGGGGTGCCGGGGAGAAAATGGCTCTCTGAGGCCGACCGGCGCTAAGATTTTGAAAACTCCGATCCATATTGAGGCTGTGACATTTTCTGTAGAGATGATACAGGTAATTAGTGAATTTTAGGCCCTTACTCTGCAGTTGGGGAAACTGGTGTAAAATGGAGGTTCCTGGACTTGAAGGTGAAAAGACTGAGGATTTTAGGCCAGTTCCCACAACGTGGGGGCGCCCCTGGCCACACGTCAGGTCTAAGTCTTGAGTCCTGGATGTTTCTCCAGAGACACGGAGACTGCGCCACACGCGGCTCAAAGGTCTCCACCCACCGTCCGACGCCACGTCACCAAGCAAGGGTGAGAAAGCGCAGGTCCAGGCTGGTGACGGAGGCTGGGCCGAGCCCCCGCGCCCCTCATGACCAGGCCGGGCCTGTGTGGCCGACAGAGCAGGGCAGTTTCCACATGGACTTACCTGCTGGGCACCCAGATCTGCCACCCCCTCCCCCTGCCCCACGCTGAGCTCAGTCCCCGCACGCGAAGCCGAGTGCCACTGGCCGGGCCGGGCCGCAGGGAGCCGGGCGGGACCCACCTTTTCCGAGTGCGTGAACTGGTGCCAGTAGCTGTCGTACATGCGCTTGGTGGTCCTCTCCGGGTAGCAGGCCACCGTCTTGGCGTAGGCCTTCAGGCTGCGCTCCAGCAGGCGGCTGACCTCCCCGTAGTCGTAGTCGTCGTACCTGTGGGCAGGGCCAGCTCGTGACCGCGGCTCTGCCACCCATGCCCCGCACCCAGGGCCCCCCTCAGTGCCCCTCCTCAGTGAGACGCGGTCCTCCAGGCCGGCTGCCCCACATGCTAGGCAAAGCCGTGGGCACCCAGGGCACGAAAGCCAGCAGGGGTTGGTCGGGGGACCCACGGGGCATGGGAGGCAGGCGCTGCCCATAGGGGGCGGGTGGGGTGCCATGATGCGGCAGCTGCATGGAGCACGAGTGGGGCTGCTGTGGGCAGGGGCCTGCGCGGGCCCCTCCTGGCCAGCAGCTGCGACCCCAGGGGGACTCTGTGGGCCGGGAGGGAGGAAGAGCCTGAGGTGGGCGGGAGAGGGCATGGGTGAGGCGCTGGCCAGCGGACACCCTCTCAGGGACCGGGCGGGAGAGCCCGCAGCCAGAGGGGCAGTGGAGGAAGATGCCCCCACACGACGGGCAGAGTGGACGCCGGCCAGGCAGGGCGCCAGCTCGCCCAGGAGGCGGCAGTGGACGCGAGGAGGGCGAGGGACTAGTGGTAGCTTCCCGGGCAGGGTTTCCCTTCCCTTCTGCCCAGACCCTAGACTGAGTTCACAGGAGGAGCTGGGGGCTCCCCAGCTTTGGACAGCGGCGCCCGGCGGGCTCCTCTCACCTGCCCTCACGTGCACAGGCGCGCCACAGCGACGCGGCTGGTGTGTGCTCCCAGCCAGGCCGGCCAGACGCTCTAGGCGGACCCCGAGGGACCTCACTGCCGAGGAGGGAAGCGGGCAGGGGGCCGCCACCGTCCCCCGCCGCGGCGCTGCTTAACCAGGAGCGGAGTCCGGCCCACAGAGACCTTCCACGCCAGCTCAGCAGTAACACAAACCCTGGACTCGGAACGCGTGTGTGGACCGCAGGGAACTGCGTCTCTCTGCGCATCAGTCTCCACAAATGCCTTCAAAACTAGCTCACAAGAGCACATTATCCAAAAGCCTCCCTGAGTAGGAAAGTCAGTTTCACTCACTCGCTCACCCACAGGCCTCGCCACGCCGGCCTTCTGCATTCAGAGGCCCCTCGTTTACGCCCAGGCCTTTTCTTTCAGTGTCGCACGAGTTTGTTAGGGGGTCTCACTCCACGCCCGCCGCCAGCCCCTCAAAGCATCTCAGCGATGTTCTGCGTCCTCGCAGATGTCCCCGTCACCGTGGCCACGCGGGGCGGCAGCGAGCAGGGCGGCCACTTCAGCAACGTTAGTTCTTGCAGTCCCTGAGCTGGAGGATCTTCCTATTTTTTTATGTTCCACTTCTTTTAAAGTGTATCGCCAGCTACTTCATTCTTTCGATGCGATCGTCAATGGGACTGTTCCCTTGGTGTGTTCCCTCCTGGCTCCCCGTGCGCACGCAGTGGCGTCTTCAGTTTTCTCGTATACGATCGCTTTGTGACATGAAGAATGAACATTTTTACTTCTCTCTCAACTTGGATTTCTTTTCTTACTCTTGTTGACTTGCCCCCTCCAGGACTCCACTGCCATGCCCAACAGCCGCCATGAAACCGGGCACCTTCGCCTTGCACCTGATCTCTGAAGAAGAGCTTCCAGGTCCGCCGCTGAACTTCCGAGCTTGCCGTGGGTTCATCATACCCGGCCTGGACCACGCGGCGGCAGGCTCCCTCTGCCCCCATGGTATTGAGTTTTTATCAAAATGGATGTTGGCTCGTCCAATGCTCCCTCTGCATCTACTGAGACGACGTAGCTTTGTCTTCCCCGGGGCGGTGTGGACCGTGGGGACGGGGCCAGGCCCACTCTGCCCGGGCAGATGGGCCTTTCTATGTGCTGCTGCTGAGATTCGGGGTATTTTCACCTCCGTGCTCAGCAGGGATTTGGTTTGCAGTTCTCCTTCCTGCCATATCCCTGTCTACTGCCGGCACCGGAGCACTGTCAGCCTCAGGAGAGGGGTCTGGAAGTGTCTGAGAGGGGCAGGAAAGAGTCTCTCTTTGGCGCTTTGATAAAACTCACTATTGAAACCATCTGCCTGAGCTGCTGCTTCCCTCCAAGCTGGCTCTCGCTCAGCGCAGGTTTTCTTTCTCTTTTTAAAAAAATTACAGAGGGGTGGGCCTCCCCGGTGGCGCAGCGGTTGAGCGCTGGGCTGCGAAGCTGCCCGCAGCCTCTGCGGCGCCGGTTCAATCCCCGGCTGCTCCCCGGCCACCGGCGAGGGTCCCACATGGCGCGCAGACCTCTCCTGCCGCCCGCTGCTCCCCTCAGCAGTGTCCTTCGGTCCTTCTGCCTGCTCTGCTCCCCGCTCTGGCTCTGGTGGATTCTCTCACCCTCCCGCGCTGCTGACTGTACCCAGTGCTTGTATAAATAAATAAATAAATCTTAAAAAAATAAAAAATAAATAAATTAGAGAGCAGTCTTTAGTGATTTGTCTTTAAAAATTAGGAAAGAGTGGGGGCCTCCCCGGTGGCGCAGCGGTAGAGCGCTGGGTTACGAAGCTGCCCGTGGCCTCTGCGGCGCCGGTTCGATCCCTGGCTGCTCCCCGGCCACCAGAGGAGGGTCCCCCATGGCGCGCAGACCTCTCCTGCCGCCCGCTGCTCCCCTCAGCAGTGTCCTTCGGTCCTTCTGCCTGCTCTGCTCCCCGCTCTGGCTCTGGTGAATTCTCTCACCCTCCCGCCCTTCTGACTGTACCCAGTGCATGTGTAAACAGAACAAACAAAACAAATAAATAAAGAAATAAACATGCCTCTATTAAAAAAAAAAATAAATAAATAAAAATAAAAATAAAAATTAGGAAAGAGAAAGAAAAGGCATTTCGGTGTGCTAGCTACATCATACAGCGTTTTATATAAACCAAACGGTCAAAGAACATAAAAAGACTGGAGGCTGCATGAAAACAACGCTCCAAGAGCTGCAGAGGGAGGCGGACGCCCGGGGTCGCGGCTGCACAGCGGGGCCCGGGCCCAGCGCTCTGCTGAGATGGGGCGACTGGTTGTCAAACCACAGAGAAATCTGACCCTGGAGCGTCCATCACACGACATCGAAAATGGAGAACATGAAGCCTTGAAAATGAAAGTTCCAGACACACAGAAAGCGCAGTGTTTGAGAAAACCACAGGTTTGATGTTGGTGGAGTCGGGTCTCCTCCCCTGAGCGGCACGTCTGTGGCAGACGAGCCGGCTGCTCCCTGGAGGAAAGGCAGGGGCTGCGGCCCACGGTCGCCAGGAGCACGGCCGTGCCGTCGCACTGACCAGTCTCTTCCGGGGTTTGGCTCATTCTCTTGCTGACGGATCTGGACTCCCAGTTTAAAGGGAGCTTGAAAACGGGCAGGGCTTGCGTGATCAACAGAAACATCAGCCAGCAAAATGAGGAGAGCCCTCGTGAACACACGCGTGGTTCTCTCCAGCGCGTAAGGCCAAGGATGCCCTGGGACGCGCCCGAGCGGGGAGGCGTGCCCGCGGTGGGGCTGGCATGGTGGGCGTGCTGCTCGCGCCTCTCCGCCCGGCTGCGGCCAAGAGCTGGGTTCTAACCAGCCCTCCAGAAGCGCGCGCCGCGTGACATAAACATCACAGACCAACTGCAGCCTGCGCTGTCCTCCCACTCACTGCTCTTTCCAGAAAGCCTGCCGGTTGCTGGTGGCATCTTCTCAAGGCAACTGTTCCAAAAGAGATCCTGCTCTCAGCGCGGAGACACACTCGCTCCCTCGGCGTGTTCAGCGGCGCCTGCAGCCCCTGGCGCTCGGCCGAGGGAGGATGGCCCATCCGTGAGCCCCTGCGAGGGCCCCTCTCCGGGGCTGGGTCTGCCTGGGTCTGCTCCGTTTGCAGCCCTTCGAGCTTCCTGACCTGGATGTCCCCCTTGTTTGGGGAAGTTCTCGCCACGGTTGCTTCGGTGGGGTTTCTGCCCCTCTCCCTGGGGCCCCGTGACGCGGGTGCTCCCGAGGCTGTCCCACAGGCCCGCGCTGTCCCCACTTGCGGCTGCCATCCTGATGCCCCCCGCCCTAGGCCTACTGAGCCGCTGCGGAGCTCTCTGCTGTGCTGACCCCCTGACCTGTGTTCTGCGTGGAGCTTTTCCACACTTCCCTCAGCACGGCGCACCCTGAGCGCGCACGGCCCTCCTGACTCCAGCAGGCGCCATTGTGCCTGCGGTCTGAAAACTTCTTCCCGGAGTTTGGCTCATTCTCTTGCATTAGGGTCTCCCCAGGGCTCTGTCTTCACCCACCAGCGGGGCCTTCTCACGCTGCCTGGGGCTCTGTGCTGCCTGTGTGGGTGCAGCGGCGTCTTCCTCCAGGCCGCTGCCAGCACTGGGCTACAACCGCCGCCGGCTTGGCCTCCGGCACTGTGCTGAAGCCTTGTCACCGCTCAGGGTCACTGGTGCTCAAGAGCCCACGCAGGGGGGTGGCCAAGAACCCGGCCTAGGGGGCGAGGAGGCCGCAGCGGTGGGGCTTCCCTGGGGCTGCAGCTGCCTGAGTCCAGGTCACCGGCCGCCTGGGGCCCACGCTGCTCGCCAGGAGCTCCAGTCTGTGCTGGCCCTTCAGCCTGCTGGCCCGAGCCCATCCTGTCCCCCTCGCTCTCAGGATCCTGGGGGGCTCTCAGACCCACCCCGACTGGCCCTGCCCTGTCCCAGGGCTGTTGCCCACCCCCCGCCCCGCCCCAGGGAGGGGTGGCTCCAGCCCTGGGTGCGGCAGAGACAGATGGTGTTAAAGAGGGAAGCGGCCTATAAAACGGACCCCATTTCTAAGTCGGGGTCCACGTGCAGGCACCCCGAGGCGTGGCCCTGAGGGGTCAGAGTCCCCCTCGGGGAGCGCACCCCTCCCGCGCACGCACCTGATCCCGAACATGCAGTGGACGTAGTTGAACAGGGCGCGGTGCAGCGTGGTGCTGTCAGCGTCCTCGCGGCTGGCCGCCGGGCCGCAGGTGAGGCTGCAGACCATGCGGAACTTCTCGTCCAGCAGGTGCCCGATGTCGGAGTAGAGTCTGTTCACCAGCGAGAAGCCCTGGTCCTCCCAGGTGTAGTCCTGCGGGAGGAGGGTCACGCAGTCAGGACAGTGCCATCCCGGCCCCGCCATGTGTGCTGCCCGCCTGCCAGGGCGCTGGCCCGGGTGGCCGCTGGGGATGACCTCTGCCCCTCCTGTGCTCAGCACGGCACCACCGTGGGCCTCTCCAGGGGGCCCAGACTCCTGAAATATCCCCACGGGCCCAGACCTATGGGGTGACATGGACAGAGACAAGGGACCCCGAGGGGCAGGGTCTGCTTCCCTCGGGCTCCCGGGGCCACATTGCTGCCGCCGTGGGTCCCGGGAGGGGGGACGCATGGCCTGACACCCTGCAGCACCGGGCCTTACGCCCGGCGCCTTTCATGACAGGGGCAGCCTGTCGCCTGGGCCCCCAAACCCGATGTGGGGGAGTTTGGTCTTGTGGGGTGACTTCAGGACTGACAGAGCCGAGGCCTCCTGCCTCCTTGCGGGGACACCGGAGTGACGCGGCTGCGGGGGGTCAGGTGAGGCCGGGGGGCCCTCCTCTGCCCAGGACGGCCCACCTGGGCGCGGAAGGTGTGCAGGTGCTCCTCTCCCCGCCGGGCAAAGTCCTCGTACCCGAAGCCGGGGTCCTCCACGTACCGCGAGACGTCGGACGCTGCCATCACGTCCTCCTCCAAATCTAGGCAGAGGGAGCAGCAAGGAAGGTGAGCGTGCCGCGCGGAGACAGCTCGGGCAGCGGAACGCAGCCAGGTTTTCCACCAATTTTAATCTTTCTCCTGGATTTCTGAAGGAACAATATTGACTTCGTGGCTCGACTCACAGAAACAGTACTTGCTTGGGACACAATTTCATCACCAAATCCTGGCAACGTTAATAATCACTCAGTTACCCAGGCGGGAAACAGCAGCTGAGGTGGAGCATGTCAGCAGCAGCAGGGGAGGGAACGAGGTTTACTTCTCTGGGGATGGCAACGGGCAGAAGCTCCGCCCGCGCCAGGAAGGGGCGCCCACGGGAGGCCCAGACGCTCAGATGCTCCCCTGTCGCCCCCACGGGACCAGCCCACAGGGCTCGCATGCTCAGGAGGCCAAGGGGCAGCTCCTCAGCTCCCCGCCTGCACCTGCATCCCCGCCTGCGTACCCCACCTTCACCCCCAGGTCCAGGACCCCTGTGAAGGCGCCTGGCGTCCCCCAGAGCCAGGCGGGAGGGGCCGAGGGGCTCCTGCCACGCCCCCAAACTGGGCCAGGCTCATGGCGGGCGCCCAGGCCTGTCCACATCTGCCCAGGGCTGCGACTGCCGGCCGCAGGGGCAGGCTCCTGAGGGCAGGGGGGAGCCGGCAGATGCCTGGGGGGTGAAGGGCCGCCCAGGCCTGCTGCTCAGAAGCCTGAGGCACGACCCATGGCTCGCAGCGCTGCCACAAGCTGCCGCGGCCCACGGCTAGCGAGAGCCGAGACCAGCCCCACGTGGCAGCCGCCGGGACCAGTGACAGAGGGAAGTGCTGAGAGACCGAGGCCCGGGGGGGTCGGCGTGGCTGAGTGGCGGTCACTGCGTGTCCTGGGTCTCAGTCCCAATCAGAAAGTTCCCTCCTCTTTCAAAGTCTCTGGGGTATTAGGGAAAAAATGTGCTCTTAAGACTAAGGATTCTTAGCTTTTAACATGGAATGAATTCCTCCAGATTCAGTCTAAGCAAAGGACCCAGCGGTCACTCCGGGGGCGCCCAGCCCTCAGCTGCCTGGCAGAGCGGGGGGCAGCCCTCAGGCCCGCCCCGCCGATGGGCTCTGCTGAAACAGGATTTCAGAAAAAACAACGAACTGCCATCTCGCCTGGCAGGCGAGGGCTCTGCGGCCTTCCCCTGCGTGAGGCTGCCCAGAGACGCCCTGGGGGGCAGGGGCGGGGGGGGGGGGTGTGACCCGCAGGGCTCCGCAGACGGCAGGGAAGAAAAAATACCTGAGTGAGGAAACGCGTAGAAAGTGTCCCCAGAGACCACGAACAGACCGTCCTTCTCCGACTCCAGGCGCGGGGCCAGGTCTTCCTGAGACGCCTCTTCGTCTTCCCGTCCCCCCTGAAGCCCCTTCATTCTCTCCATCAAGGCCTCCAGCTCGCTGAGAGAACCGACGATCTGGAAGCAGACAGGACAACGCTGGGTGTCAGCGCTGTTTGAATGTCCCTTGTGACAGGGCAAGCCCCACAGAAAGTGGGGTCCAGGTTCCCTGCCCCCAGCTCGGGGGAGCTGAGCGTCCAGGGGAAGCTCAGACGGGGCAGGCCGAGGCGCTGGTGCCTGGTCTTCACGTGGCAGACGGTGAACCCGCTTAGAGCGTGCAGGTTTGGGGGTCCCGGGTGCCCCTCGGTCTGCCCACTGGCACCCCCCACTGTGATCAGTGGCGTGGACACAGCAAGCTCCTCAGCGTGTTTCCCACTAACCCCAGAGACAACTGCATGACGGCTGCAGACGCGCTCAAGAGGACGCTGCTGTCCTGGCCGTCGGGCCGTCCGCGGGCGCGCGAGGCTGGGGGGGCTGTTCCACGTCCACGTGCTGAACGGACAGGCTCAACGCGGGAGGGCGGGCGCCGCCTGCTGCCCGTGGAGCTGCCCCCCTGTGCTCTGAAAGCGAGGCAGCGGCAGCGGCCCCTTCGCGCCGCCACGAGACGCAGCCCTGCTGTCCCACGGCCACGGCCACGCCGCGGGGGACACCCAGCCCGGGGCTGTCGGGCGGCGGAGCGCCGGCCCTCGCGGCGCCTCTGTCCTGCAGGACGGCGCGGAACATCCGGCCCGCGGCAGTGAACGGCGGCCAAGCCCGGATGCGTGGAATGTCGGGGTGCCCCGGGGGCGAGGAGCAGACAGGCGGGCTCACCCCGAAGCTGCCGGCCGGGAGGGCCGCGTTCTCGACGCCGTTGTCGTTGGCCAGGTCACAGGCGCAGAAGGGGCCGCGCGGGGCCAGCCTGAGGCCGGGGGCCGCGCCGGGGCCGCGCTCGGGGTTGATCCCGCTCCCGAAGACGAAGCTGGCCAGCGCGTGGTAGTGCGCCAGCAGGACCACCGCGTGCACCAGCTCGGGCAGCGACCAGTTGCTCTCCCCCGTCCGGACCAGCTTCTGGAAGGGGCCAGTGGGAGGGGAGGGGGAGCTGCTGAGCCGCGGGCCCCGGGAGGCCAGAAGGGGCTTTGGGCAAATAAGGCCGCGTGAAGCCACGAAGCCGAGGGCCGTGAGGCCGCTTCCCAGCCCCCACGGGAGGCCCCACGGGAGGCCCCACGGGAGGCCCACGGGAGGCCCCAGGGCAGCTCGCCGCGGGGGCGGGGGGGGGTGGTTGAGGAGGACGGGGCGGGGTCCAGAGGGTCACCCAGCAAGGACATTTTAAGGTGCTAAGGGAGCGACCACCTTAAAAATCACCAGAAATTCAACCCAGCAAGTGAACTTTCACTTCCTTTTAGGTAAGTTCCCCGAGGATAAAGCCCCTACAGGCCGGACAAGAAGGCGCTGGCGTGCGGGCCACTGTCCCGCGTCTGCACGAGAGCTTGAAAAACTTCCGAGCAGGGGGTGCCGAGGGTTAGTCTCGGGGCCATGACGCCATGACCTGCGGCCCGGCTTCCACCCGGACAGGAGCTACCCACAGGCGCAGCAGCCCCTTCCCGTCTCCCCGCTGCTCCCCTCAGCAGTGGATTTCAGTGGATCCGCCTGTTCTGCTCCCCACGCTGTCTCTGGGGAGTCCTCTCACATCCTGCTGCTCTGGCCTGCACCCCAGTTCTTCACAAAAAAGTAAATTTTTTAAAAACGGACATTAAAAATAAATTTCCAAGCAGCCACCGATGGCGCCCCAGAGAAGCCGGCAGGTACCTCTGCTCTCCCGACAGCCGATCCACCCGGGAGTCCTGCAGGGGCTCTTTTCGGTCAGCGCCTGCGCCCACGCGAGCGTCCATGTCCTGCCGCCCCCCAGTCTAAAGCTTTCACTTGGTTGACTTCACAGTTAAAATCCCGATGGGAAAACCTGCTCTTCTGCCCTCCACGCCGGGCGCACACTCAGCCCAACTTGGCCAGGGCTCAGGGAGGACAAGACCCGGGTCCCCGCATGTGTCCACTTCCGGTGACTGCCCAGACCAGCCTGGAGCGGCCCGCTCCTGCCCCGCACCCTGCGCCCCACCCCGCGCAGCCCTGCTCTTGCTTCAGAACCACCACCCCTGCCCCCGGGGCTGGGAGGGAGAGGCGTGCGCGCACCTCGCCCCCCACTTCTGAATCTCTTCTGCACACGGAAGAGGGGCTCTAGGAGGGCCCCTACCTGGATGTGGTCCTTGGTGAGCAGCCAGGGCCGGTGCGCCAGCAGCTTGTTGATCTCGTTGAGGTTCCGCAGCCGCCGGGGCACGCGCTCCAGGCCGGTCAGCCACTCGGCCGCGCCGCCCGTCTGCAGGAACTCGTCCACGTGCATGTTGATCAGGTAGGCGCACTGGTGCCGCGCGGCCGCCTGCAAAGGGCAGCAGTGGGCGGCCGGGCTCACGCTGCCCACGGAGGAGCGGCCTGGATGGCGCTGACCGTCGCCCCAGCAGTTGGGTTGTTTTGTTTAAAGCGCCCTCCTCCTCCGGGCCCTCTCACCACAGAGCCGCCAGCGACTCCCGGGGCGGACGCTGGAGCCCAGACCCACGCGAGCAAGCGGCCTCACAGGCCGGCGACACACACTCGCCCAGAAGCGGCAGCACCCACGCCAAAGCCCACGCCAGCAGTCACGGGGACGCGTGTCCCTGCGTGGCACGGAGGACGCCGCCTGCATTCTACCCACACGCAGGCGTGGCCAGCGTGGCGGCTGGGCGAGGTGCCCTGGCCTGGGTCAGCCTCCACCCTCGGGCCTGAGCCCTCCTCCCGCACACCCACGCGGCCGCTCATCCAGACCGGCCCTGGGCACCAGCAGCCCGCACTGCTCCTCCTGAAAGTCCCGTCCATCCTCTCCGCTGCCCGCCTTCCTGCAGTCTGTGGCCACTGACGCTAAAACTGACGCTGAACTCAAGGTCAAGTCCACCCCCAGCAAGCCGCGTGCCACCCCTGTGGTCTGGCTCTTGAATGAGAGCAGGAGGGCCTCAAACTCAGTGAAAACTCTCCTGCTACCGCCTGCCAGCTCTTGGGGCCGGCTACCCCTGCCGCGCTACCCCAGAGCGGGAGTCCCCTTGTCCAGCGCTGCCAGCTCCCTGCTCCTGCCCGGCCACGCCAGCCTCACAGCCTGGTCACCGGCCTGCTGGCCCCGTGCGAGCGCTCTACCCCAGGCCCACCGGCGCCCACCACCCTTCCCCTTATTCCGCCAAATTAGCGATGACCCAATGACAAGCTTTCACAGCGATGGCTAGACCGAGACATCCACCGCAAAGCAAGGCCTGTGGGCCCCGCCGGCGTCCTGTGTCAGGAGATGAAACGAGAACGGTGAAAGTCAGATGACGCTGCTTACATGAAGCGGCTTAAAGCATGAAGAGTGTCCAGGGGCCCCGAGGCCCTCCCTCCCATTCCCACGCGCTCCCGTGGGCCGCAGGGGCGGGTGTGTGGGGGGTGCAGGCGCTGGCGGGCTGGGGGGCAGGTGCGCAGCGTGGGGCGCGCGCTGGCGGGCCGGGGGCAGGCACCGGTGGGCTGGGGGGCGCGCGCTCGCGGTGGGGCAGGCGGCCACGCACCATGATGGCGATGTAGTGCCGGTGCGGCAGCGGGAGGGGGCCGTCCATGCGCAGCATGAAGAACTGGCTCCGCAGGAACGACTCCAGGTACTGCGCGTGCAGGCTCATGACCTGCGTGATGTTGTCCAGGCGGCCCGACGTCGAGTACTCCTCCACCAGGACGCTGGTGCGCTCGTCCGCCGCGTCGGCCTGGGCGACCTGCAGGCAGAGGACAGGGTGCTAGGCCGGCGCCCCCTTGGCCGCACGCGCCCTCCCGCCGGCCCGTGAGTCCACACCGCCTGCACCGCTGTCGGCCTTGGCGAGGGGCTGGGCCGCGGGGCCCAGAGACTGGTGGTTTCCTCTCCACAGTCCAAGACAAAACCTCGTTTTCTTTAGATCAGTATCTCCAGATTCTTTGTTTAATTTTGTTTCTGAACATACATAAAAAAGCTTTTTGAGTTTTTTGGGGGGACAAAGGAAAAATTAGGTAACGTGTGAAAAACTGTTAATTGAAAAATTAACGAGGACACCAGACACGGTGCCCCCACTCCGAGCTCCTCATTAACAAGTACCAAGTCACAAGACCCCCCGCAGCGCCCCCAGAGTGGAAGGCGCACTGGGCAGTGGCAGACGGACTGAGCTGGGCACTGGAGATGGGCTGGGGGTGCCAGCGGGCGGGGCTGGCCCCGGAGGCTCTGGCCAGGAGCTGCTTACTGTCCCGTAGGTCACTCTGCGGGAGGACGCCCCCAGGCTGCCCTGCGCCTCCGCTGGACATGGCGCACATGACCGGAAGGCGCTACTGAGCAGGAGCCCAGCCCCAAGGACACGCGATGTCTGGGGAGTGCCAACGGGGTGCTCCCGCCACGGGGTGCAAGAGGCAGTGTCACCTCAGCTCTCTGTAAAGCCAAACACCTTTACCTTGTCCACCCCCACGTCATGATGGGCATGAGGGCAGTCCGGAGTGTGTCCGGTGACCCAGGGGCTCGCGCGCACCGCACGCTGCGCAGGCCTGCTGGGAGGGGACGGCGCCCGCAGGCACGAGTGACCCAGACACGGGCGCTGTGCCCGGTGGAGCTGGACGCTGCCGTGGACACAGCCCGCCAGGGCCGCCCTCCTCTAGCCAGGCAGGCGCCCTCTGGGGTCCGGGAGGCCTGCCCCCGCCGAGCCCCTGGTGACAGGGAGGCCACGGATAGGCAGCTGCCCTGTGTCCCGCCGCCCCTCCCCCACACTGGCCGACCCGGCCGTCCGGGAGGGGCTCAGTCACAGACTCAGGGTCCCCCAGGGCAGTGGGGGGGCGGGTGGCCGCTCACACAGAGCAGTCGAATAATGCCAGGAATTTCAAAACACCTTAAAAGCCGACGTGGCCCCAACCCCCGACACAGTGGCCATCCCGAGGCTGACACCAGCCTCCGTGACCGGTGGCATTTGCAGAAAATTGTTTTAAAATGAAATACGGAAAAATCCCTATTACTCGAGCCTTGAAATGCTCCCTAATTTTAAAACACGGCAGACTATTCTGCAGAAAATCTCTTATGGGAAGCTGAAAATAAATTATCTTCGCGGTTCTCTGACATTTTAAGAAACTCAAAAACAAAATGCATTTTTATTCCGTGTTGAAGACGGAGCCGCCCGCCGACGGTCACGCGCCGCTCCGGCCCCGGCTGTGGCAAAGGCGGCCGCACTTACTTCCTTCTCCGGGATGAAGGCACTTGGTCCTCTCGTCGAGGGCTGAGATACTCTGATTCTTTTATCCTGTTTCCAAAGGGAAGAATTTACGTGTTAACGACTTTCTAGAGGAGTCAGGCGGGTGCAGACCGGCGAGGAGAGGACTGTGCAGCCAGGGCCACTGCCGGCCTCGGACCAAGGCCCCGGCCGTGGGAGAGCCATGCCCCGGGCGGGGCCCCAGCAGGCCCCCACGGCTCCCTCGGCCCCGCGAGGAACGGGCCCCACCCAGCGTGACCGAGCCCCTCGCGGCCACCGGCAGAGCCCGCGGGCCAGGGGCGCCCCAGAGCTGCGTCCAGAGAGAAGGCCCCGCGGCTCCCCCAGCAGCGGCCTGGCCTGCGTGTGGTTTTTCTTAGTGAAATAGCAAGGGTCAGATTCAAGAACTTGGAGTTTTTACTTGTAAACTCCAGCAAGCAGAGGTTAAAGGAGCTGGGAATGGAGGCCGGGGCCATTTTCTGGCCCAGCCCCTTAGGTCGCGTCTGTGGAAACCCAAAGCCAGAAGGTGGCTCGCGCGGCCTGGAGGCTCCGGGTTGGGAGCCCGAGGTCTGTGGCCTGGAGGCACCGGCAGCCCTGCGGGGAGCACTCGGGCTGTGGGCACCGCTCCAGGGCAGGAGGGCGCCCGGCTGGGACCCAGGGCCTCGGCTCCCCAGCTCCACCGCGCCCTGAAGCCTTGGAGCCCCAAGGAGGCGACAGGACGGTCCAGCAGGGCCGCCCGCCCGGGGCCGCAGGGCGAGGACCGGGCATCCTGCAGCGCCCAGGCCGCCGAGCCGGGCGCTCTGACGGGCGGCTCCGGCGTTGGCACCGAGCCGGGGTCGGCCGAGGCCGTCACTGCGGGGCTGTGGTGACTCGCCCCGGGGCTCTCCTACATCCGTCTCGGGGTCTGCTCCGGGGTCCCCATAACCCGTCATCTCCATCGAGAAGCCTCGTGGCAAGCAGGAACGCGGCGTCGTGTCCCCCGTGTGTTCCGGGGTCACCGTCTGGGCCCGGGCAGCGCCTCGGGGGGCGTCCCGGCAGGGGCTGTCCGAGCGGGAGGGGCTCGGCGCTGGGGGGGCTCCGGGGCCGGGCCCTGAGGCGCGGGTGGGGGGGGAACGTCCCCCCTCCCGCGCCCCGCGGCTCCTCCCCTCGGCCAGCCGGGTCCTGGGGACCTCCGACCCCGCGGCCTGCGGGACCCTGCGCGGGCTGCGCCCCTTCCCCATGGCGGGGGGCGCCCCGGGAGCACGGGGGAGCCTGGACCGCGCCTCCGCCCGGCTCCCCGCGGCCCCGCCTCCCGCCCGCGCTCCCGGCGGCTCTTCCCGGGGTCCCCGCGCGGCTCGGCCGGGGCCTCATGGCGACGCTTTCCCGACCCCCGACAGCGCCGGCACCCCGCCCCGCGAGGAGAGACGCGAGAACCCAGCGCTCCGGGGCAGCAGGACCCACGGGTGCGGTGCCCGCCCCGAGCACCCAGGCAGGGCCCCCCGCAGGCCCCGGGCCCCCCCCCCCGTCCCGCCCGGCGCCCCCCAGACGCGGACTCGCAGGCCGGCTTCGGGGCGCCCCGACACCGGGGCCCGCGGGCCGGACGCCCCTCGCCACGCGCCGCGCCCCGGAGGACGCGCAGGGCGGCCGCAAACCCGGGGGCTCGGGACGCGCCGTCGGACCCCCGTCCCCCCACATTCGGTCCGCGGGCTCCGGACCTGCTGTGATCCAGGGGTGCGGGCGCGGAGCAGGGCGCACCCCAACGGGACTTTCTAAGAGGGACTCAGAAGTCGCAAACAATTGAAAAAATAATTCAGCCACGCGCGCACCGTTGATAACCCACAGCAGGGCCGCCCCGGGCCGAGCGCCCGCACCTCTGCAGCGCGGGGTCGACCCCCGCCGGCCCGGGGAGGCCCGCTCGGCCTCCGGCGCCGCCCGCGCTCCCCTCGGCAGGGTCCTCGGTCCCTCTGCCTGCTCTGCTCCCCGCTCTGGCTCCGGTGGATTCTCTCACCCTCCCGCGCTTCTGACTCTACCCAGTGCTTGTATAAATAAATAAATAAATCTTTAAAAAATTATTTAACGTGACTTTCATGAGGAAGAACTATCAATTCGCCCAGATCCCCCTCCGCTCGCTGTCTGGGGTCCTCGCTGAGCCCTGAAGCCCAGGGATAAGCAAGCCCAGGGGGCCCCGGGAGGCTGGAGCCCATGGACGCAGCCACAGGAGAGGGCGCGGGAGGAGCCCAGACAGGAGGCCAGCGGCGGTGGCCAGGCAGCCCCCGGACGGGTCACCTGAGCAGGACCCCGACGGTCAGGCCGCCAGGCGAGGGCAGCGGGTCTGTGAGGCAGCATCCCAGGCTGGGCTCGGGGAGACGCGGGCAGCAGGCGGCCCTTAGGGGCGTGGGCGCCCGGACAGTGCTCAGAGGGCCGGGACGGCCCTACTTCAACTCACCCAAGGAAGGAGAGCCTGGCCTACGGCGCGGGTGCTCCCTGCTAACTCCACGGTCCTCCAGGAAACAAGCTCCTTCCCTTGGCTCATGCAGAACTAACGCCTACGTGTTAAAAGCACAGCCACGGGAGTGAGCACATTGCCGCGGCTTCTGCGGGCACCACACGCACATCCGGCAAACACCGGCCAGCCCTGCACTGACCGGAGGGCCCTTCCTCCCCAGCTCACAGACCGGCCGGGGAAGGTGGACGCACACCGCAGACTCCAGAGTGGGCCGTGGCCGGTAGACGAAGGTCACTGAGACCCCAGCACAGAGTCTCCCGGATGCAGAGACTTGGTCAGTGTCCAGATCGTCAGTTTTCTCATTTGAAAATGAGGCCGAGGCCATCTCCAAGGCCTGACTGCATTAACTTTCTCCAGCCCAGAACTTTCTCCAGCCTAGTCAGAGACTCCAGGTACCAGGAGAAGGCTTAGGGGCGACGTGCTTGTGTACCCCAGAGCTTCCAGAGGGAGGGAGGGAGGAGGCCTTCCCATGTGACTAGCGCGAAAGAAATATTTTAAAAATAACTATTTCACCTAGTCTGTTAATAAACTGATCATCTTAGATACCGAAACTTTTGTAAAATATAAAACCAAGATCAGAAAATAACATGTTATATATTATGTAATTTATATATTTTTAAAAATAACTTTAATCTTAAATATCTATAATTATTTTCAATATTCTATATTCTCTCTTCTCTATAAATGATCCAGTAAAAAAAATTTCTAAAAAAAAAAAAAAAAATTTGCAGCAACATGGATGGCGCTGGAAGGGATCATGCTCAGCAAAATAAGCCAGAAAGAAAAAGAAAAATACCGGATGGTCTCACTCATAGCAGGAATCTAGAAAATCAAATCCATTTTTAAAGGATCCATGTTGCTTAATGATTCTCTTTACCTTTTCCCCAAATAAGGCAAGGAATTATGATCAACCACTTATGTAAATGAGCGTAGTTTTGTAAATAATCTTCAGAACCCACTGATGTGTTTCCCACGTCCTCATGGAGTGGCACACAGTGCCGCTGGGACAGCTGTTTCTAGGCAACCATGCGTCACCGCGTCTCCATCCTCCCGAACTTGCTTTAGGGGGCTCCTGTGACCCAGCGCGTCACACACAGCGCGCCAGCCCGACCCTGCCCTCACGGATGCCACCTCCAAATCGGCTTTCCTTGTCCTGCAGACGCGGGCCTGGTGGCCGGGGTGCTGGGCGGTCGGGGCCTGCTTCTCCTCGTGCAGGCGTGGGGCGTCCCCCGGGACGGCAGCTGGGCCCCCAGGTGGGCACGAGTGTGAAGGCCCAGGGTGCACCCCCCGCCCCCCGCCCCCGGTCACGGTCAGTCCTCCAAAGGCCACTGCACTTTGTAAAGCAACGGATTTTAGGGTCCTTAGATGCACCCCAAAGCATCTTCTGTGTAGGAAGATGTGTCACAGCGGCGACACCACCGAGTGGCAGCGGCCTGCAGAGAGGCGCCAGGACACGGGGCTGGGCCGCTCCGGAGGGGACCCTCCAGCCAGCAGGCGAGAGCGCCCCAGAGCCGCAGAGCCAGCCGTGGGGGCCGCCCCGCGTGGCGGGAGCAGGAGTGAGCTGCTAACGCTAAATCACTCTTACCCTCCGTGCGTGCAGTTACTGCAGCAGCAGCTTGAGCAGGCATCTGTGATTACTTATTAAGCGCAATCCAGTTGGCAAATATTTTAAAAATACTCTCAATGTATCAACAGACTTGGGCGCTGCAGACAGCCAGTGACGCTCCGCGGCCGCAATCTGTGGTCTTAGCAGCCGCGTGAGAGCGTCATGGAAGACTGCTACACGGAGCGGGGCTCGGCTTAAGCGCCCCGACAAGCAGCGAGGCGATAGCATCCGTGCTGGCGACACGACGCCAGAGCGAGCGCACCCCTTCCCAGCCCGGCCCCCAACTCCGAGCCCGGATCTGAGCGCCTCCATCGCCCAGTGTCTGAAGACAGTGACCGCCACCGTCCGCGAAGGGCAGCACTGTGGCGGCATCTGGAGGCGCGAGCACAGGCCTGTGGGAGGAGCAGAGGCGCTGGCCCCGGGTCCCCCAGACCTCACTTTCATGGCACTATTTTAGGCCACGAAAATGCCTTTTTAAATTTCCTTTTTTATGCATCTCAAAGTCAAAAGCTGACTGGCCATTGCCATGGAGACCGTTCTATTTAGGGCTCCGTACCAGCCCTTCCCTCGGAGGAGCAGCAGCGGGCTGAGGGAGCCGTCCCTGGCATGGGGTCCCCTCCCGGCCCAGGCAGCAGCGGGGCTGGGAGGGGCGGGAGCTGCACAGCCCATTACTCTTGCTGAGTACGTTCAACATGGGTCAGTGTCGGAGCTAAGCAAGGGACACCATGAGGAAAACTCCTTTTCCTCAAAACTCAATGCAACCAAATAACCCAAGAGAGTCCACGCGCCACCGGACCAGGCCCGCAGCCAAGGCCGTCCCGCAGAGCACAGCCTTAACCCGGCTGGCACCTGACCCAGGTGCAGGCCGCTCGGGCTCTCGTCAGCTCTGGCTTGTGGCCTGCTGGCGTGACCTTCGGCCCTGTAAGCGCAGGTGAGTGCCCGCGCCGGGGTCCCCCTGAGCGC